CACGCACTTCAAGGCGGGAAGTGCAAACTAGCCGACACGACAGCATGCCCGAGCTCACTGCCATGCCTGTTCGTCCTCTCTCAGCCCGAGACTTGAGACGAGCTGCGGGTACCTAGACCTCTTTCCTCCCTCATCTCCCCCTCCTCCATCATCTCGTTTCTCCTTGTTGTTGTTCCAGGCATCCGATCCCTCCCCTCCTCCATCTCTCCCTCGATCGCTCTAGCATGAATTTCGTCTGACATGTTTGTACTCGTGTAGAGACAGGACCCAAGTCAAGTCGGCGCAACTCTGATCGAGCTTTCTTCGATCCCTCACAAGACTTCCGGTGACGTTTTTCCCATTCCTCTTCCTCCTCTTCCTCCTCCTCGTTCTCCTTTCCTCCTCCTCCCCCTCCACCCCCTCCTCCCCCTCAAGCTTCTTTCAGGCCACAGCCTTACCGCCATCAGTTGGAGCGGATGAAGAAAGCGTCTGCTGCCCTCCAGCACTCGCCGACCCCCAGAGAGGCGACGACGTTCCTCTTCTGACCGCCATGGCGCAGCAGCTGTAAACGTGTACAAAGATGGGAGAGGTGTAATCGACTGTAAACATGTTCATGTGTGAGATAATGAATATCAGCAACTCAATTCATTACGATCATCTTGACTAGTTTTACATTAACCGAAGCAGGGCTCCTCTCAGTAGATCCATCCTGCCTGCATGTAGACCGGAGGAGCGTCCATGGCCTGGCAGCGGACCCTCTGTGAGGGTCGTTGTTTGATATCCATGAGAGGGTAGGGAGAGACGGCGATGGCAGCAGCGGCTCTCTTGACGCTGCCTTTCATCTGATAAGGAACGAGAATGCTCAGCTGGGGCTGATGCCTCGCCGGCAGCTCTTGACGGTATCGCTTGCTGGCGTTCACCTCGCTTGATCGCCTATCTGACTGAACGATGGGCCTTGAAGTAGAACCTCGAGAGCTCTGAGAGCCTTGCGAGGTCAGCGAGCCTGGACGAGTTTGAGGTCGAGGAGTATCAAGATGGTCGACGTAGCTGACGTGACTGACTGGATGTGTGCGGGTCTTGTGGGTGCCTGAGGTGGTCAGGCCGAGGTTGGTGCCGTACTTGCGCAACAGGTCCTCCTCAAGCTTGTGCAGCGAGTGATGGTAGAGCTTGGCGATCTCAGGGGCCTCAGACACCTTGGCGGGGTTGTGCTTGAGGTAGAACTGCTTGAGGTAGAACTCCACCTCCTTGCTGTGCAGCCTCGCAGGCGGAGCCGGGTTGTGCTTCGGGACGTGGCTTGTGAGGGGGGGACTGAACCTCCCGGCAGGTTGAGGATACCAAGAGTCCAGCGTGCTGCTGTTGCTTGCCACGACTATGTGCTCAGTTGAAGCATTCTGACAAGATCGAGAGCGTTAGCGATTCCGTGGCAACGTAAGGAGTGATACCTGATGATCAGTGCTCGATGCCACAACCATCTTGTTCCTCTCCATGAAGACAACCTTGCACGGACTAGATTGCGTGAGAACGATGGCATCTTGAACGTCCTTCTCCTCGTCATCTGAAATCTTGGGGCTCTGAACGCAGCAGTCAACAGCAGCCAACACGATCAAGCAGATCGATCGCTCGTCGTCTAATGTCTCCTCACCTCAGTGACATGGTGCGAAAGCTTCGCCTTCTTCGACTCTTGCATGCTCCCGTCCTCCACGACCGTGGTGGAGTCCGAGGACAGCGAGCTGACGGCATCATCTGCTGCAAGTCAGGTCTCGTCGCATCACGGCATGCAGGGGCTGACCGATATCGAGCAAGATCGCTGCATTGACATCATGCTCTTTGTCATCCACGCTCGTTAGAGTGGACCTCCAGTCCTGCCAGCCCACCGTTGGTTGGCTGCACATCTACATGGCAGTCAGAGCTGTGAAGCAACACAGCCGTCTAGCCGACCTGTACTTCAGCTGTGTTGACTCGATTCGATGCCATGGACAACATCTGCACTAAACCATGAGCTCATTCTGAAGTTTCTTCGAACTTGGTATTGATGAATTCGCTTTGTTTGAATCAGGTGTCTTTCACAGAACTTGTAGCTTCTTTCAAGAATGTCGTTTACAGAGCTATCAGTCGAGAATCGTTGAAATCCATTGTTCATGATTTCGATTTCTCATCTGGCCTCTCAACATATGACTTCACCTTCTCACATACTGAAATCTCTCCGCAGCAAATGAACTGATCTTCTCACCATGACTCGCAACATTATCCAACACTCCGCTCATAATTTCACTGCATCTCCACGTCCTTGGTTCCTGTGCACGTCCTGCTGCTGCACTACAACCTCACACTCTCAGAGGCGTTCTAATTATCCTCATATCCATCGTCATTTTATCTTCACATGTTTCTAGTTATGATCGATAGCGACTGAAGCATTGGACCCTATCTCATGCCCTCTCCACCTCTCTTTGTTTCTCTTCGCTCCTCTTGTCTCATCTCCTCGCTCCTCTTGTCTCATCCTCGATCTCTTTCACTCTCTTCATTTCGTTCGTCTTTTCCTCTCTCGCTCGCATTCTCTTCGCTGTCGTAATGCCCGATGTTTGCATTCCCTAAGGCTAGTCCTATTGCCACCCCTTTCGTGACCCACCCCCACCCCTCTCCCCTGGTACATCCCATCCCGATTCGACTTTATGAACGCTACCCCCACCCCTTCTTGGATGGATCCAACCACCCCTTGCATCCCCTTCGGCGACCACCCCGTCAGGATTCGAGCCTCTTTGAAAATTGTCATGAAATTTACGGTTCTCCAGGGGGTGGGTTATGGTACCCACCCTCCCACAACCACTTACGACTGAGTAGATCGGACCACCCCCGTCACGCCAACTCGGTACCCCACCCCTTGACCCCCCGGTGCTACCGTGATCAGACCTCCTTGGGGTGCGGCAAAGCCTGACAACGGCGTTGGGATTCTCACTAGGGGTACTTTAGCAGCTTAAAGAAGGGGTGATATGGTTACAAATATCCATCAGCCTGCGCGGGAGGGGTAGTCCGATGGTACGTGACCAATGATTTCGTCCGCCCCACACCCACCCTACCCTTGAGTCGGCAGTGATTTCTATCTTCCAGTACCCCACCCTACATTAAAACTTTTGACTCCTTTAGAGTTTTCGCCCCTACCCCCTTTCAGAGATCCGCCACGTAAACCGGAACTGTACCAGTCACGTGGGCCTACAAATACTGGTAGAAACTGTGTAGCAATTCTGGGAGGGGAGGGGGAGGGGTTGTAGGATGAGTCTCGGAAAGGACCGCAGCTCATAAATGAGGGGGTAGGGGTGGGGTGAGGCTCTGGGGCCTTGGCGATGTGAGTTGAAGATCACGAGGTTCTGGCGACCAGCGGCCACCAGAGGTGATGGCCCAGCCAGAGCTGTCTAGGTCGAGGGTAGTGCTCTCTTACTTAGTGATTCAATCGATAAATAATCTGAGTCTGATAGGAGCTCAGGGTGCAGAACTTTACTGTCACTTTCACGCTGTTGTAAACTGGAGGATATCCATGATGACATACGAGTTGGAATCTGGCAGCCTACCTACCCCCTGACCGCACTCTGACTCCCACCCCTTCAAACACCACCCCCTCGATCAAATTCAGCGTCATGGTCACTATCGCCACCCCCGCATGGCACCGTTGTACGGTACTCTCACCCCGGCCGGTCACCCGAGTCGGGGTGGGGGGTACCATTTCCATACACCGGTAGTTCTTACTCATGACTACCCTACCGTTGGGCCCAACTTCCGATGTTCCGACTTCCGACTCACCGTACTGACAGGACTTGGGCCCCATGACCGATGACCCGTCGGAGGGGGGCCCGGGGGTCCGAGCAAGCCTACTACTCACTTTGAGTAAAGACTCACCCGCTCAGCTCAGCCTGTCCCGCTGGTCCGATCCCCGGCGGGGGGTGGGAAAGGTACCGTACCGTACCGTACGGACATGATCGGACCGTACAGGGTACTGAACTCGGAATGGCCCTACCGTGTGATCATGGTACCGGACCCGGGAGGCGTCAGTGACAGTCAGAGGTATCTGATTGGAGGCCGCGGCCTTTTTGAGAGTTGATTTGGGACCTTTTTTTTTTCTTTACTTCCGATCACTGTCACTCTGTTACTCTTTACTCAAAGTTGAGTTAAAATTCAGTACGAGGACATTTGCCAGTCGTCACTCACCGGTGGCACCGGCGCTGCACTCCGACACAGGCTGCCGCCGAGTCCGTCAGGCACCGTCGGTACCTGCCGGTACTGGCGGCAGACTGTCACTCAGCCGTCGGCCGAGAGGCCGAGTCACGTTGAGAGTCTCGGAGCGCCGCGGTCACCGGGTGCAGGCCGACCTTTCCGACCTTTTCAGTCCCGGCCGGGCCGTCCAACGGTTCAACGGTTCAAGTCCCGAGTGGCCCCGGGCCGGGCCGCGCCCGCGGCCGCCGCTGGCCCCCCCAGAGCCGAGTCACGACGGTCACCGGCACCTGACTCAGTGAGCCGCGCACTGCGGCACTGGCCGTGACGGTGACTGTGACCGTACGGTGACTGCCAGTTGGCATGCCATGATGACATTCGCCGGGACTGAGCCTGAGGGACCGGTGACCCCGCCCCGGCGGCGCCGGCGGCTCGGCGGCACTCAGCGCGCGGCCGGGCCGGCGGCCGCGGGCGGCGCCGTCACAGTCACGGTGGCACCGGATCGGACGGTACGGTCACGGTCGTACCCCGGGCGGCCGCTCGTACCCGGTAGTTCGGTGAGTTCCCGAAGTCACGGAATCCGGCCCGGCCGCCGCCCGGCGATGGCATGGGCCTGACTCTCACGGTCAGTGCCACCATGTACGGTGAGTAGCTCCCGGCTCGGAGTCCGAGTCCGACGCGGCCGGCGGAAGCCAAGTTCGCCGCGGGCCAATCATCATAATAATGTACAAAAGTTCACTGATGCGGTTCAGTTATGTAGTAGTACAGTTAAGAATTCTACAACAAATTGGCAAGAGCGATGCCATGTACATTACTGAGCTTATTGCAGTTGCCTCAAATAGTGTCTTGGCTCGATCTCCTGTCCTCTTACTTCACGTCAACAGCAGGTTGCATCATGGAATCATGCATTCCGTTCATGCCATTCACGTTGGAAAAGCCTGGGATACACAATCAATCAATCACGTTCAGTTTGTCAGACTCGCAGTCATCACCTTGCATGCCATACGCTCCCATCAGATCCATGCCGTACATGGATGCATTTGCTGGCATATAACTGAAGGCACCAGACCCATTCTGATAAGCACCGGCAGCAGAAGCCATCTTCATCATATCGCGATAATTGTTCATGTCTGGGTGCATCATATGGGGCGCGTTGGGCATATTTCCAGTGAATGTTTGCTTCTGTGCAGACAGGATTATTTTTGACCCTCAACAGAAAACAGTTTCAGGACTGACCTTATTGAGGTTGGAATATCCCTTCTGACCACTGAAGGCATTTTGTTGCGGATATGGTTGTCCTCCATACATCTGACCGTGCACCGCACCATAATTGGTGAATTGGACGGGAAACATGGGAGTCATCTACCAACTAACATCATTTACAATATAGGGCTATTGATAGACAGACCTGTGTTGGAGCCATGTTCCAGTTCATCATGTTCGCTTGCCAATTCATCATGGTAGCCTGTTGCATCATTTGCTGCTGTACACTTGCAGCCCCCGCGTTCTGTTTCATCGACATCTGGCTCTGACCATCCCTGTTGACCCCATATGAATCCATGCGAGACTGCCCATTGACCTGAGGCAGCCTGCTCTGGTTTGAAAACATTCCACTCGCTCCCATGCCATACATCGGTACCCCGCTGTCGGCAGGAATATTTGCAGAACTTTGAACACCCATCGCCGACGACATCATTCCCATGGGATACATCTTTTGAAACTGGTCGTGCGCAATATTCTGATTGAGGTCTTGATGCGCAGGATTGATCTGTGCAGGATTTGTATCGTTCTTGCCAAGAGTGTGTTCCTCCGCAAAACTGCATAATTCCTACTTACAAACGCTTCCTTGATATACACAAGTCTTACCTCGAAGACGTGTTAGGCAAAATGTTGGCATTTTGGTTCTCTTCTTTGCGGTTGACTTCGACTTCAAGCAGATTCTCGCTTTGGGTGTTCTGCGATGATTTCGCCGACTGTTGAGGTTCAAGAGCTCGTTGATCTGAGTTGGCGCTTGCCGGGTCTGTAAAAGAGTGTCAGTAAAATGACAAATGAATTCAACATCAAATGAGTAGAAAATCTACCCAAAGTATCCATGGATGCCGCATTTGCAGAACCATCTGCATCGTTCTTGCCGTTTTCGCTCTTTTGACTCGTTGATGCTGGAGAAATCGGCTTTGGTGCAAACAAAGATTTGCTCTCAGCAGCATTACTCCAAGCTGGAGTAGTGCGTGAAGGCAATGGTGGGCTGGCATTGTTCTGCTTCAAGTATTAAAAATAAACTTTAACCAGGAATTCATGTCCAACCGTTTCTGCCGAGCGAACGGGAGACGGCGTGGAAGCCATGCCTCCTTGGCTGGAGGCTTCAAGTTCTTGAGAGCGCACTTGCTCTGGGCCAGGAGATTTCTTTGAGCGGTAACCACTATCAGGTGACTGGGCAAATGTGCTCGATCTGGAGAAAAAGTCAGATATTGCGCTACTTCATGGTCACAGCCAACCGGTCAGAATGTGCATTCCTGTCCTGCCCGGAAGGAGACTTCGACTTGTCCTTAGCAAAGTTTCTCTTCTTGTCACCATGCTTGTCATCTGCATGTACCTCTTTCAGACACTGATCGCGATCGACGAGTCTATGGTTACCCTTGTTCCTTTGCCCTCGGCCCTTTGGTGATTTCTCATCCTTGCTCGGAGACTTGTCAGACTTCTTCTTGCTGCGAGTGGTAGTGGTCCAAGTGCATCCTATCAAGTGATGAGTCAGTGATGTATCACGAATGACAGAGAGGGGAACAATCTCTAATGATAATCTCTCATGATCTTCATCTGACATCTACACTAGGGCAAGACGATCGGGTGTGTAACTTACTGGTCAACTCCTCCTCCAACTCGGAGAAAGCCTTGTCATGATCCATGTTGTTGTTCTCAAGGGCATCCATGACACGCTGTTCAGGAATAACATCGGTACCTTCGCTTGCAGGTCAGAACCCTTTCATCTTGCCAGGGCGAACAAACCTCCGAATCTCGCATTAAGAACTTCAAGGAGGACTTTGCAGCTGCTGGCAGCGGCGTCATCAACTTTGGACGCGGGAGGCATGGAGGACGAGATCAGATGGATACGCTTCTGTCGGGTCGATCACGAGTGGGGTGGCGAGGGGGAGGAGAGGGGCGGCAGGGAGACTTGCTGGCTCGCGAACGGAGGGGGCGGTGGTGGAAGAGGGGATCGGGCTGTGGAAGGCGGGAAAACAGCCCCCTCGGGGGGTAGGGTAGTACAAGTTGCACTGTCATAGTGGGTGGTTGGATATTGGTACGGGTACTTTAACAATGAAAATTTAGGGTACTTGCCTCAATGGCTCACGGGAGTGGGTAGGGTAGATGGTGAGAGGCTTTTTTGGGGCGGAGGGGAGGGTCCGTTTTCCCGCCCTTTTTCCCATTTTTGTGGGTCGCATTTTAAAAGTAGGCGACTGAAATTTAAAGGTTTCCTTGGTCTGGTAGTTTCTGGGGAAAGTGGTGATATTAATAAAACTAAATTATTTTTAATGGCCACAATCCCTCTAAGAACTGGAATAAACTATTGTAAAATTTCTCACTCTTCCATTATAAAAATGCCCCTTTTGTACCAGAAATTGTACTGGCGCCAAAACGGTTAAAACCATTCCAGCACGCGAGCATTTCAGGCCCAGCGGTAGCGAGGAAGAGGAGGCAAGGACAGAGGAGACAAGGATAGGTGCGGGCGGGCGGGGGTGAGGATGGGAGAGGTTGTCGGATCAGGGAGGGAGTGAGAGGAAGAGAGTGTAGTTGCGTGTAGCAGTAGACGAGGAGAGAGTGCTGTGAAGGAGAAGAAGTTGACAAGAATGCTGGGGCAAGCACAACCTGTCCCTTGCTGACTCCGTTGGCTCAGGAATCAACAAAGGAAGCGAGCAGCTAGGTTCAGGATACATCGAATCATCGAGCTGTGCAGGTACGAGCTCGACGGCGACCCTCTCCCACCATTGCATGTGCCCTATGATTACTCCTTCAAACATAGAAAATCAAAATCAAGTCTGAGAACCCTTGAGGATAACGTTGTAATGAGGGGCTGTGCCTGTGTTGTCTGCACGTTCTAGCAGCGACTTGATTTCCTCCTGACGGACCATGCAGGTCACTGCAGAGCCGGTTGCCCGCCCACCTCCCCGTTCCACCTTGGAAGTCTTTTTAGTCTTTAATGATCTACACTGCAAGCGTCTTGAATGAAACTGTGAGGAGCTTGACAGGCAAAGTTGAGAGGTGTGTGTGCGGGACGGTATCAGCTGCATCTCTTGCAGAGCTTCTCCTCTTTCATGCAACTTTCCTGAGAGCTCCATGGCACCGACTTGGTTCTGGAGAGTCTCATGGTACTGCCCCGTAGTATCCAGCGAGGCGCTCGGGGCCGTAGGAGGAGTTGGAAGGATTTTTGCCCTTGGACTGCAGGAGGGTCAGGGGTGCAGGATAAAGGAGGGGAGTGGGAAGGAATGGAAAGGAGCAGGAGTTCGAGGAGGGTGTGGAGGCAGTGGGAGAGGGAGAGGGAGGGGGAGAGGGAGAGGGAGAGGGAGAGGGAGAGGGAGAGGGAGAGGGGGAGGGGGAGGGAGGAGGGGAGGAGGAGGAAGGAGAGAGTGGGGGTGCAGGGGAGGGGAAGCGAGCATTTTGCATCACCTTAGACCGCGCGAGTTTCTCTTCCCTCTCGTGCCGACGTTGGTAGTAGAGGTTGGCAAAGATGCCGATGACGCTGCAAAGGACCTGAAGGCAGGGCTGAGCGGAAGGAGAGCGCGAGAGAGCATCGCTCACAGCGAAAGTGAGGATCATGATGGCGCCCTCTACCAGCATCCCGCTGCCTCCTGATGATCCTCCTCCGAAGGTGCACCTGTTTCACGTCTTGAGCTCTCCTGGTGCTGCTGCTGCTCCTCCCCCCTCCCCCTCCACAGCTCTTTCTTCCTACTCTCTGTTTCCCGCCTCCCTCCCTTCTTCTTCTCCCTCATCCCTGAGCGCCCTCGATCAACTTACTTGCCGTACGACGGTGCGTTGGGGATGCAGCGCGTGAAGATGCCGAAGACACTGGAGCCTGTGGCATGGTGAGACGATTGAGAGAAGCGAAGAGAGGGTGGGAGAGGGAGAGGGGAGGGAAGGAAACAGAGATTGGGGAAATGAGAGAGATGGGGAGAAAATCGTTGAGGTTGTGCAGGAGAGCGCCCTGGAGGAGGAGACCTGTGTCAAAGATCACGGTGAACTGCTGGCGCGGAGTCCCGACGGACACGTTGATGAAGTACTAAAACACAATGTGAGAAAAGAGGGAGAGGGAGAGGGGGAGGGAGAGGGGGAGGGGAGGGAGGAGGAAGAGGGGGAGGGGGAGGAAGGAGGGGGA